CATAACTCAAACAAGGTAAGTAAGTATAAATGTTAACATCACAGACAGCAGAGATGTCAGGGCCGCCCTTTGTTTTTCAATTGAAATAATCACCTTGTCATAGGGTGGGGGGATACCGTCAAACACCTTCATCCTGTCCAGAGCGGCCTGTCCTCTCTTGGTTTTGTGGGGCAACATGCCTGTAAACAGAGAATACTCGTTAGTTCAGTTTCAAATAGCCAATTAATTAAACCTGAGTCAAAAGCACACACGAATGTCCTCATCTCAACTCAGCAATCAGATCCGAAAAGTTGTCTCATCAATGGATGATCAGTTTCGGTATAGTGTTCATCACTGTCAATCAAGGAACAACTTGTGCTGGGTCAAATAAATGCCAAGATCCTGTATTACCAAATATTAACCTAGATTACACACAATTATATTTTAGCCAACACTGGATCTTTGTTGGTTCTTATGATTAAAAGGTTTAGGCCTTGCAACTAGACTTAGTGTATCAGCCACATGTCATGGTAGAGGAATAAATATCTCTGTCAAAGTAAATAATGCCTGTCCAATGTGCAGTCCACAGATAAAGTGCATTTACTGCATTTGAACTGAACAACTTGTTTGAGTGTAATCTGTTTATTCAAAACGGTAATAGCATTGTTCAATAGCTTTGACACTGAAAGGCAATTTATTTCACAGTAAATGCTGTGATATTCCCACTACAAGAATATTTCAGCATTACATTTCAGGTGTTGGGAGTTGCCTCTTCCCAACTTTACACTTAGTTTCATGCTCACCTCTGACAGTCCTCCAGAAGATCCTGCTGGGGGCTCTGAAGTGGAAAGGTCCACGAGAGGGGTTGGTGTTCATCCTCTTACGCAGGAAAGCCAGGTACTTCACTGTAAAGGGGAACAAAATATAAACACTGAACTGAGTCACAAATACTTCAAGACACCAAGCAGGGGCAGCCATTATGGCAGTATTAAATGCTGATGTCTCAGATGGTAGTGCATGTAGTGGTCTCATGGTCAATTAAACTCGAACAATATAGTAGGGAATCATCACTGACAACAGGCATAAGGCACAATGGAAAAGTGTTTTGTCGAGTATACATAAACTCTACTTACGCTTGTTACGGTAGAAGTTTCCTGAGATGTTGATGCCTTCACATCTCACCACCACTACTTTGTGTCCTAAAAGAAAACCGTAGTTTAGCATTTGGAGAACAATAAATTGTGCTCAGATTAACCATCGCCTGCATACTGTCTCAGATGGTAGTGCATGTGAGTTTTCTCATGGTCGTTAAACTCAAGCAAAGCTGTAAGGTGATCATCATTGACAGACTGAGGCAAAGCAGCTTAATCTCCCCTTTGGTAATCTTATTATTTATCAAGAGAGCAGGGTCTCACTCCATTCACTGCTGGGTATTTTTAATCAAGGGTTCATTCTAGCTATAAATGACTTTAGAGGAAATGGTTTTCCAGCATTATATTACATATGGGTTTACTTAAAAAGAAATAAACTTACCCAAAAGGACCTGTTTAGCCACCAGGGCAGCAAGCCGACCGAGTAAATGGCCCCTGCCATCAAGCAGCAGAACCTGCAGGTTGGAAAGTGAGAAATTAATACTGGCATAATAATTCTGAGCTGAAAATACGGAAAAACATTGGCCATTCTACAAGCTTGCTTTACATATTTAACATAAAATCAGACACACGCTTCAGAAATTGATTGAATATATTTATGTTGCTAGTCACGTGTTATACATAGTAAACTCACACGCCATTTTAATCAAATATTGCCAATTAGAAACGTTAGAGAACTTTGAGCTTTGTAATAAATGCCACATGGAACCTACCGACGAGCATATCGTTAGCTTAGCATCAACGTCACTTAGCATCAAAGCACGCTGAATGCATTTTAGACAACAAAAATAAAATGGTGGGCGAGTATATAAGCATAACGCCCTTTAAACAGTGAAGGATGTGCATCTTAAAATTACTACATTTACGCTGTTATCCAGACGTTCACATTCTCATGCCCCAAGTTTAAGCTAGCAGGCTAACGGCGTTGACTCGTTAGGGAAGCTGCCATGTTGAAGGCATGTCCACTCAGGCACGACTAGGCGTCTCAAACAAGTTCCAAAATAAGGTCTTAAGAGTAACACCGACCAAAAAATAAGTAACGGCAAGGAGCCCTGTGGTTACGGCTTGCAGGTTAACTATAAAGTACCAGATTTAACAACCCCTAAATAGCAAAAATGATGATTATAATTGGGCCGCTGCAGTTTACCTTATTGAACCGGTCCGCCATGATGTGCGAAAAGAAAGACGTACGGGGCTGCCCGTTCTAAAAGGCAGGGGCAGACGGAAGTGACGACGTTTTACTTCTTTCTCGTGGGAAGGTAAGCATGTACACAAATGTTGCATCACTGCCGGTGTGTGGAGGGAGAAGTTATTTTCCCAAAAAAACGTTTAGTATCTAATAGATGTATTCTTTACTATTTCCAATTATGTATTTATATTTTAGAGTGTTTGCAATTTTGTCAAAAGTGTCAGTTGGAGCACAGTGTTCTGCTCACTGATATGTGTTAACTTAATGCACCAACTTGCTATTTTCTATACATTTTTCAGTGATTTTTCCCTCAGATAAAACATTTGTCTTTATTGAGAATCATCAATATTTGATTTTGTAATACCTTTCTCAGTCTATGAGTAATATTATCATCATTTAAAATATTCTGATACATTTGTGTTTGAAAATCCAATGGATAACATTATAATTTACAACAATTGCCATCTAACTTTTAGTTCAGTAATAAATTACATTTCTAAGTAATCCGACCCAACCCTGGTTAAATGTCAAACTAAGTGTGCCATGCTGCTGTATGCTGCCTCTTATCATATTTAATTTCTAATAGATTTTTACTTAAAATGGTTTTATATTGAATTGAAGGCATTCTATGTTATTGTGAAGCATGTCATGGGTATCTTGGTTCAAATATTAAAAGATAATGTACAGCTGAGTGGTAATATCATCCGATTTATTTGGTTTGAAAATCCAGTGGATGTGACCTCGATGCTTCAAGGATTGCCAATTAAGGAACATGAGCAACCCAGCCCCTTCAGTGGCCCATATACATGTTACCTTAAAGAGCAAATTGATGCAAATCACATCTTCACAATATGCATTTAAACCTTGCAGGGCTGGGTCAGAAACGACACAGTGCATTTTCGTAAATATGGCCAAGGTCTGTGATTGCATAGGCTATGTATATTTTACAATGATGCATGTCAAGCTAGTGACAAAATCATTTAGGTAATAGTTTAACATTGACATATTAAGGATTTAATGGTTGAAACTAATGTCATCATATTGAAACCTTAATGATATTAAATCTCTCATGACATCCAACTATAGGCCCATCAGTATCTTGCCCATAGTATCCAAGGTATTTGAAAAACTGATTGCCAAACCAATCATCAATCATCTCAACAACAGCTCCTTTCCACTGCATCCAATGCAATTTGGATTCAGGGATAATCATTTAACAGAAACAGCGACATGCTTCTTCGTAGAGAAAGTTAAGGCATCAATGGACAGGGGTGGGGTTGTGGGGGCCGTGTTCCTTGATTTACAGAAAGCTTTTGACACTGTTAATCATAACATCGTATTGCAAAAAATGCTCAACTTAAAATGTTCTATAGAATTCACCAACCTTTTTAAATCGTATCTTTCATCCCGCTCCCAATGTGTTAAAATTGAGAACCATAAGTCTAGTGCGCTATGTCTGTCAACTGGAGTACCGCAGGGCTCTGTATTGGGCCAATAACTGTTTAGCATGTACATCAATGATCTGCCTTCTGTGTGTGGACAATGTGATGTATTAATGTATGCTGATGCTAAAGTTGTTTTTACTCATGGCAAAACCGCAGAAGAGGCTGCAACCAAGGTCACTGATGTCTTGGTGAATATTACATCCTGGCTTAACAACAATTATTTGCAACCAAATATTTCAAAGACAGTGTTATGTTCTTCTCCAAGGGCCACAGCATTATCACAGAACAATATATTTTCTTTTCTGGAAGGAGACTACAGGTTGTCTCGGAGTATAAGTACTAGGAGTACACATTGACACAAACCTCAGTTTCAAAACCCATATCAAAAAGGTCTGCAATAAAGTGAAGTTCAATCTGTCAAATTTCAGATATAGCAACTTCCTATCAACTGCAGCAGCTAAGCTACCTTCACTCAATGGTCCTCTCCCACATCAACTACTGTCTGATAAGCTGGTCTAATGCACACTCTACAGCTCTAAAACCACTGGAATCACTCAAAACACTGGACAAAAAGCCATTCCGGTATCATCATTGTCACATTGTTAAAAAGTATAATCTGTTCAGCTGGTTCATAGTTTACAAAAATGTCTGCTTAGTTTATAAGATCACTCGTGGGTTGGCTCCTCCTCCTCTAGCTGGCTTTATCAGCCTAAAGTCCACCTCAACCAGGGCTGCGGCTATATAGCGAGACTGCACCATCCCATTTAGGAAAAGTGCATTTAGTCAGGCTATCTTTTCATTCCACGCATCCCATCAATGGAATTCAATATCACAACCAATAAGAGAATCCTCATCCTACTACACATTCAAGCAGTGTTAAAAAGTGGCTCATTAATAATCAAGTGTCAGCACTGATGTGTGGGTGTAGGTGTTAGTATGAGTGCGTATTGTGAATGTTTTATTTATTATCATGACTTGCTCTTATCTGTATTCAGTGATGTCGTCTATTTATAAAAATGTTGGTATAACAATGTTGTGGTATTTTAATTCTTGCTTTTAGGATGCCTATCACCATCTGACAAAGGGACTATCGGTGAAAACTAGCCTTTTGGCTAATTCGAGTACTTTTACACGTTTTTAATATATTGATTAATGTACACTGTCCCTTGTTTTAAATAAATAAATTGAATATCTGTATATCATTTTTACAGCACTAAAAAGATAGAGGTGATTCAATTTGCCTTTACAATATGCATTTATTTATACATCACACAAGAAAATAGGTTGATGTACCCATTGGAGATTCTTAAGTTTCTCGAAAACATTTGTACAACTTGTCTCACAACATGCAATGGAAACAATAATCTTTTATTAAACAGTTTTAATAACATCATGCATTTACAGTACAATCAACCACACATTCATGACTGGCCCGATGACAGTGCATGCAGCAATCTGAGTAAATAGTGAAGGTGTTTGGCTGTGTCGGTGAGAGAACTGGAACTTTTTTATTTGGTAGGTTACACTCAGTCGTCGTGCTTAAGCTTCCTGATCTTTCCCTTGTGGCGGTCAATCTCGCGCTGCATACGTTCAATCTCCTTTTTGTGGTGTTCAATTTCCTCCTGGTGATGCTGCTTCAACGCAGCCAGCTGTTCCTGCTCCTTACGCCTAATGTGCAGAGGGACAGATAACAGACACAACACAGAGAAATAAGGACAGGAAGAGAATAAAGAAAAAACTTGTGAAAGTTAAGGTCCATGATTTTTAAAGACAGATGTAACAACATGTGGTTTCTGTAAAAGAAATAAATGCATACTTGAAGTACATCTCCTCCTCAGCAGCCTGTTTCTTCCCCATGGATCCACCTGCCTCTCTGATGGACCCTCCAGCACCACCACCTTTTCCTGCACCTTTACCCAGCTCACCCAACTGAGGCAGGGCGGGGAAATGTTAGGTAAATACATTCAGAGACAAAAGAGAGCCTTAGGTCTTTGCTCAATAGACAATATTTAAAGAAACAGTGTCTTCATATTTCACAATTTCAAGGGTAGTTATTTGTTGTCTATGCTATGAAGGTAGATTCAGGCCACAATGACTGAATCTACAAGGTCAACAGTTTGTTTCAGGAGTCAAACATGACTCTTTGTTAGAAAGCTGATAATAGAGGTAATGTAACTTGGAACAGACCAGAAACTGTTTGTGGAGAACGATGCAACCAAAACCACAGAGAAAAAAACACAACCATAGAAGTGATGTATTTCCTGAATAAAGCAGGTAGCCAGGAAACTACTGTTTTTTCTTTCAATTGAGCCAATAAAACATAATGTGATTCAAATAAATAATTTGTAGTCAAGGTAATTGTTGTAAATCTGTCCCAGAAATTGATTTACAAGAAAATCCCTCTGACCTACAATCACATGCCACGAACAGTTATTTGTCCAATTGTCAACAAACGTTCAGCTAATTAGGCTAATTCATGTATGATTCACACATAGCAACCAAGTGTTTTATTGCAAGGATGTATTTTACCTGGTCGGAGGACATTCTAAGCTGTGATGTGACAAAAGTCCTGATGTTGGGCCTCAAAAACCTCGCCATTTCTGTCTCTCACGTGTGAAAACAACACTGAGTTTCCAGAAGAAGAGCTTGCCCTTGTCCTCAAAATACGCCACAGGAACACACCATTATTACTCAGACAGAGGTAACGACATCCTTCATCACGGTCAGGTTCGTCTAATGTAAAACCGAGGTAATAACAAATCATATTTTAACATACACTCCTCTGCAACCAATTTTATTTTTGAATAAGGAGTTGTTAAATATAGTTTGAGGAAATGCGCCGTGACTTTTTTTCCAAAGTGGTATGGTCCTGAGAGTGGGCAGCGTGACAACGCACGTTTTTTACGTTTCTGCTGACATGCCAAAACTTGTGAATATCTTGTTTTATAAAATGTATTTTAACGTATATACAATATGTCCCTTTAATTAATCTATCAAGGATATCCCTTAGCTTTCAAGTACTACTTTGCCCCCAACCTTTGGAATTTTTAATGCGCTTTTGTCCTCAAGTTTCAAATAAAGTTGTGGGAGAAAAAAACAAAACCCTTAACAGAAAATCTAAAATCCTAAACATGTGTCGCAAGAAATGTTACATATTTGAAAGCAACAGTGATTTCATCATTAATCATTCATTAAGATTTAAGTCCATGTTGAGTTGTAAAGGAGTGTTAAGGAAGCCTCTAGAAATTATGCCATGTAGAAAAGTGGTATCTTTTCATTTAAACATAAAACTCATCATAGCAAATTAGTTAAAGTTTTCTCAGTTAGACCAAAATAAAGGATGAACTTTGATCTGTAATGACTAGAAACACAAGCTAACATTTTGGTTTAATTTAAGCATCTACAAAATAAAAATAAAATCAACCATAAGAAATGCTTTGAAGGATTTTATTCAATGCAGCAAAGAAAGTACACAGTTTCCTCACAGATCAATCCAAATACTGGCTCATGTGGTGAAAGGAACCTCTCAGACACCCTTCCCCAGGTCCCCTATAAATACTTTGCTTGCCAGGCAGCTCTGAGCTCACTCAGTCCAAAAACCAAAAAAAACTAGGAAACACCTAATCAACTTAAAATGTCAAACCACATTCAAAATGTTTCACAATTCATATCATACGCCATTACTCGACTAATTAAAGTTACATATGTACAAGTGTGGTTGGAACCTTGTCGGCAAGCAAGTGCTTTAAAAAAAAAACAGAAAAACAAGATCCCCATTTATGTAAAAAAATGAAAAGACTAAGCTTAATACAAATTATATTTTTCTGCACCGCTCCTGTTCATTATCTGAACATAACAGACATTAAGAGGCCCCCATATTTCTTCTGTGTGACAGTTTCTACTTAGTTTTCCTGGCAAAACTGAGAATTTGAGTTGATTCATTAATTATTTTACCCTTGAGCTTTACCGAGATATTTCTAAAGAAGCAACAGTTGCACTTGAGAGACACATTTCATTCTGGCCTGTGTATCTGCAAAAAGCCATGCCATGATTATGTATGTAGTTGCTAATTATGTGTTTCTTTCCTCTTTTTTTTTACATTCACAATAAATAAAACTTGGTATATTTTTAGGATTAACCACTTCATAAAGCTTAAAAATATACTCATTAGATTTTACAGTTAGATGTCATGTACACATCAAAACAGAAACACTTATTTCTGTAAATACAATTTCAGGTTTTGTCTTTATAAATGTTTAAAAGAATAATACAACTCTTCCCGAAATAAAGTAATATAAAAAACTAAGGCTTAGGGTCAATCTGCAAAATGTGAAACTTACTTTGACAACAGCTTTTGCTAAACACACATTGCCTAGATGTATTGCTCTCAACAAGTGAATATTTTGCCTGTCTACCGAAAGTTCTTTTTTTAATGCTGGCTTGTGCTGATATGTTTTGGTTTTGTTTAAAAAAGGTTATAAAGGGCACAAAATTAAAAGTATGGCAAGAGAGGAAATAACTAAAACAAGATAAAACAATATGGGGGGTGGGGATAGGTAGAAAAGGACCAGGGTACATCACAGGCCCAGCAGCGGTCTGCGGAGGCCCTTTGGAGGAGGCGGCGAGCGCGCCCCCCCCTCCCAGCCCCGTCAGTCCTGCTTGATGCTGCCCAGCGCTCTGAGGCGCTCCAGGAGGGGAGGGTGGGAGTAGTGCCACATGGAGAACAACCAGTCAGCCACGGGGAAGCCCAGGTTGTCCTTGTTGAGCTTGATGAGGGCAGAGTAGAGCTCGGAGGCTTTGCCCATGCCACGTGCAAAAGCATCAGCCTGGAACTCAAACCTGCGACTCAGGACCGTCAGACAGAAGGACAGGAGCTGCAACCACAACATATACAAACAACTGAATTTGTGACGAAATCTGAGGTATAATACAAAAAAATAGATCAAAAATTGATGGAAACCCTATTTATCGAAGCACACCCACCTCATTGTACGGGGAGAAGATGAACTGGAAGATAATCATCAAGCCTATCAATGTGGGTTGGCTGACATTGAAGCCAAAAGCTACAAATAGCTCCTTACGTCCAATCAGAACAGCAAACAGGGAGAAGCACAGGAAGGAATTCATCTGGAAAAAAGAACAGAGTCAGAAGATGTTAATTGCATATAAACTTACATTTGAATGTCTTTATTTGATTGTGAGTAATCAAGTTGTGGTTTTGTTTAAATGCAGACATTAGGAGAACATGTGTCCACCTGACTGATGACGATATTCTTGACAGTGTGGCCAAGCTTCCAGTGGCCAAGCTCATGACCAAGGACTGCAAGGATCTCTGAGTTGTTGCATCCTTGTTTCTTGTTCTGCAATGTTAATTGTAAGAGAACACAAGACATTCAGGTCACAGGGATCCCTACAACAGCTGGTTTGAACATTTCCTAGTAATGTAAAGAACCCTAGTTTTTAAAATAGCAATAGGACATTTTCTGAATGCAGTTTATGGCTTTGTAACCTTGGGCTTGGCTTTGGATTCGCTCGATGTATCCTCTCTCTCTGCCTGCTCGGGCTGGGGCTCTCCGGACTTGTTGAGAGGTGAGTAGTCTTCCAGCAGTGTGTCAAACAGCACAATGCGTTTGTTCTTGAAGAACCCATAGAAGTAGGCGTTGCTGTGTGAAGAACGCTTAGAACCTGGAATTATGGAAAACATTCAAGACAATTTAAGACTGCCGTATCCTAAACCAAGCTGTAGAACCATTTAAAAATGATCTCTTCAACTTGACAAAAACATGCAATCTGGATGATGCCTCTTTGTATTACTGTACCTTCAACTACATACACCTTGGTGAGGGGGAAGCTTATACTCTTGGCCATATCCTCAATGTCTGTCTTCAGCTCTCCTTCTGGCAAAGGTGTGAACTTGTCAAACAGGGGAGCAATGTAGTCAGCATAGATCGTTACGAGTACCTGAGAACAAAGGAGAAGAGGAGATGTATTGTGATAAACAACCAGCCAAAGTGTAACTACTGAGTGTTTTTGTGTTATTTTAGAGCTACTCTGTAATTTCCAAAAAAACTACACATTCCTTTGAAACACGATTAATCCCTTTTCTAAGAAGTGCATTCTTTGTTTGTTTCAACACAAGGTGAATGCAGCACTGACCAGAGAAACAGCCAGGGTGAAGAGCCAGGCGTAGATGAAAAAGTAGTCTCCACCAATCTTGATGATGTACAGGAGCAGGGAGGTGACAGGGAGCAGGATACACTGGGTCACAATGAACTTCTTCACAGCATCCTTAAGGAAGAACCCAAACGTCTGAAAGGATGACAAAAACATATGAAAAATCATCCTGGATGATAGAAACAGTTGTTTTGCCAACAAAAAGCCAAACCCCTTTTTTTGCTAATTGAATGTACCTGCTGGTTAAAGCCATGCTTCTCCTCAATGACAAATGTGTTGTACACACTCCAGGGAAGTCCAGTAAAGGCACTGAATAGGGTGGCAAGCGTCAGAAACACAAGCGACTGGGTGATCTCGTACTCTGAACCAAATCCTATGCGAGCCGTCACAGAACCAGCGAGCTCCCACATTAATGGGATTCCACCCAGGAGCAGGATCAACTGAAAAGTTGGGTACATAACGTTAGCCTTTTAAATATAAAATAACATACATATGATAATAAATAATATTGAGTTTAAAATCATGTTAAACTCAATATTCATGGAAATAATCAATCACACTTTAATATTATATTTTACATCCGAGTTCTCTCTCTTATTCCATGTACATTTGAAGTGACAAAAGTATACAGACTTATGACACAGACTTGACACACAGGGCCCACTTCAAGACATCCTTAATAATAAGACTGATTGTGAAAGTACAGCTTTTTTGCTGAGACATCTATTGCTTTTCATTTCCTGGTTGTCTTACCGTCCCTTCAGTCTCAGAATAGAGTCCAGACCAGAAGCTGAAGTTGCTTTTATCCAGCTGATAGAGACGCGACTTCTCGAATGTTTCCGAATCCATGATCTTCCCAAGTTCCTGTGGCACATGTGTGGTTGATCTGTAAATGCTCCTCTGTGAAAGGGAAAGAGATCAGCACTGATGTTATACACAAGTCAATTTGTATTAGTAGCCTATGCTTCAATTTCAGACGAACATGGGTTTATATCCCTCTAATTCTTGCTATTGAAATATTTCTAAGTGCATATATTTGGACTTATAAAACTACAATTATCCTGCTCCTCTGTTCTGTCATATACAAAGTTGTTAACATCCTGTTTTAAGGGGAAGTACACCCAACTCAGCAAAAAGCTCCGAAAATGCCATTTCATTCTGTCTTACCAAACAAAAGACGCCAGAAACAGGAATCATAATATGTAGGTATTCATATTTGTTTCTGCGTTTACTGTTTTAAAAATTATACATGTCTGCCAACATCTGTCAACCTCATGCTGACAATCTTCTGAATTATAACTAAACATTTTCTTCAAATACTTGAAATGTAATCCAGTTGTCATAGTTTCACAAAGGGAAACTACATAAACGTGTGTACACATGTGCAGGTCCTTGAGTAAACATTACTGTTATATAAATTCTGTCAAACCAAACCATTTTTAAATTAACTTATAGAATATAAAACAATCACACATTTTTTGTAAATTAACGTTCACTGCACTATTTGGTTTGGGGTCCTTTCCCCCTCGACAAACACATTTAGCTACAAAGGAGGAACTTTGACTGACAAATTATTAATTTACCTGTCTGTAAGAAAGGTATGCCTCCCAGAGATACACCGTCCACGAAAATCCCAAAACAGCATAAAATATCAGCTTCTCCACTGGGAGGTCAAATATACTTTCAACCATCTTTGCAGGGTTTTAGTTCTGTGTTGTTGGAGCAGGCTCTCAGGCTAGCTCAGGCTAACGCTAATGTTACCGTTTCCTAGCCTGACGGGTAGTTTTAGCTTAGCAGCTACTTAGCTTTCACTCTACACACAAACACACACAACTATTTGAGGTTAACTAAAGGGAACACGGTTCCCACGTTAAATCGACAAATACCGACTAACTGTGCATCCAGTTTCCATTCCTAAATCAAGGCTTTTACATCTAATATCTTTCCATATATGTGAGGTGTGGCAACAAATTCTATCCCTGTGGAAACAAAGACTACTATACGTTTGGTTCCGCTGCTGATTTGTTGCAGTTGTGAGGAACTCAATAAAACACGTCTTAAAACTATCCTAAGAAAGCTTTTATCTTATTAATGCTGGCCTTTTCAGTAACTCAACTGTGATTATTAAAGAGTTCAGCAATATGTGAAACTACTTTCTAATTCGTCTGTATGTATATGATATTATAATCCATTGTTTACTGCGATAACCCCCTGATATTATTTTTATTTGTATACAATCCCCTGCATACTGAATCTGTAATGTATTTTGTTCTCAAACTAAAATTATTATTAGACATTATATAAAACATTATTATACTATGAAACTGTTAAGTTAACTCTTTGAACAATATAAATGTAATTATATATTATTACAAAGCACGGGCGTCGCAGCCATTATATCAGGGTGGGACAAGTCCCCCCCACTTTTTGAAATGATTAGTTTAGACCCCCCCACTTTTACCATGTGGAAAGTCCGTGAATCGGTCTATCCACTCGCCGCACTTTGTAGAGCGCTGTGTCAGTGCTTCACTATCAAATTACAAGTACATTTATTTTAAATCATCTTCCTCTTTCTCTGAACCCTCATGTGGAGTATAGCTTATTTTGTTCATCAAACAACCTTGCTATGATCATACATCCATGGATCAGATACAAAGATACAAAGATAATGTTTTAAACGCTAGAGTCCTCCTCTAGAGAAGCTGTGCCACACCTCAATTGTGCAGAATACTTGTCATGCAAACAGTGAACTTGTGTGCTAAAGTTTATTCAGTGTATGGTGTATATGGAAAGTAATTCTTATATATTTAAATATATATAAACATGAGATTAATAACCCTGATTTATCTCAGTCTATCACTTGTTATTACATTAGGCGAAACACCACATTTGAAATAATCTAACCCCAGGATCTAACTTCAGTCATTGCCAAATGATAATGTTCAGGGGACATAAATTAGCCACTGGTTTTTCCCACTATCCTCTCTATTATGCCATTTCTGACTGGCTCCTGTGTTTATGTGTGGTAGTTCAAAGTAACAGTTAACAAATGTGTAGTCTTAAAATAATGATGGTATTAAAACCTACATCTTCAAAGAGCAACCTCCTGTTGTTTAAGTTGTAAATAAACCCAAACTAAATTAAAGTTAATATTTTTTGCACAAACTAACTGTTACACAGTTTATGGGGTGCAGGACTTTAGGTCGACACTAGCTTTGCCCAGTAAATCATCCAGTAAAATGCCGAATTCTTTGGATAAAATCCTGATGTTTCAAATAGTGATATCAAATAAAAAATACTTCACTAATAAAAGTAATTGTTACTTCAAAAGGATGTTGTCATAGCTATAAGAGAACAGAGACACTTCTGATACACATCCCTTTTGGTAATAGTACCTCATCGTGTACCATTACACTTAAACACTATATTCCAGGCAGTGGAAATACATAGAACACAAGAGATGATTTTAAATTAGTTATTTTTCAGGTTTGCAAACAGCAGCTATGATAACCTATCTCGTGACTTCGTATATATAAAAAGAGTCACTTACACAATTCTGAAAGTTAAAGGCTTTATATTTGTTTCCACATTTATTTATTTAAAAATGTGTTACATACATACATACATACATGGCTGCCAACATCTGTACACTGCATCCCAACACTTATTTATTATAAACTGAGGTGAAAATAACCAAACATATTCCTCAAAATCTTTGTAGTAAAGAATTGTTTTCTTTCAGTCACAAGTTCACACAACTGAGAAGGTATTGCAATACACTACTGACCATTTCTAACAATCTGAACATTCATCCTGGAGGACCACAGTATATACATTTGTGATAACGAGTTAACTTATTAGGTGCCATCTGAATGCTTTCATGTCTAAAATGAATTGAGCTATTTACACTTGTTTTTCATTGCAATGCTAATTTGTATACGATTCTTCAGTTTGGCAAATAAAAAAACAAACAGCAAAAACATAATACTATAATTGAGAGAAAAACTAAATACTGATCAACTTGTGAAAGTAAAAAATAATTTTCCATAGCTATGTTAAAAGGTGCTAAGTTGAACTAACTTCCAAGCAGCAGTTCGCAATTGTTGGTGTCTGATGGGAAGATGTCCGGCAGGGTTGTGCTGCACACCGGCCTCTCCAGCACCACCACAGGTCTCAGATACTGGAGCTGCTTAATAGCCAGGTCCCCACACCCCGCCAAGGCTTTGTCCAAGATGTACTTCAAGTTTTGGACAGATGTAAAGTCTCGAGTCATAGCGTGGGGCTTCAGCAGTGGGGAATGACTGTGTCTACGGTTGCGAGAGATTCTCAGCTGGTTGTTCTCTTTTACTGAACAACCACGTCTGAAAGACTCTCGCCGTTTCGCTGCCGGCACATTTTTGTCTTTCGGCGTCGTGTCTTGTATGAACCTCAGGAAGGAAGACTCAAAGCCTATAGGCTTATAAGCTGTGATGTCAAATGGGAGAGGAGAAGGGCTACAAGGTTGAGTCTCTTTCAAGTTTAAGGGTGGTTCAGACAATTCATTTTTTCGTTTTAGTGGCTGGCGAACAGGAGGGGTGGGCAACGGAGCTGCCCCGTTCACCAGTTTACCCCCATCCTTGCTGCCTGACGAGTCTTGAAGGCCCTCCACAGCAGTTATGCACAGTGAGCAGGGTGGCGAGAGGTCAACAGTGAGGGAACGAAGAAGAGGTTTGATTTGATCCAAGCTTAATCTCTCTTCCTGCTTCTGGCTGTTCTGTGCTGCTGCTGCAGCAGCAGAGCCTTCAGTGTGACCTCCGGTGCTCGGCTCACCGTAAAGCACCTCATCTGCACCAACAAGGACACCATTTCTCTCAACAGGTGGCGGCTCCTCCTCTTCCTCCTCTGGGAACCCCATTGGATTGTCATTATCCTCCTCCTGTGTGTCTGCCTTGATGGAGTGTAAGCTCATGGCCGCAGGCTGCCCCCCCGTGTTTTCTGGCTCTGCCTGATACTCCATTTTGCGAACCCCATTAGGGGAACATGCTCCCGTAACAGTTGTCCTGGCTGACTTCCTCTGAATCAGTTCCTCCAGCTGCTCAGCAGTATTAACCAGCTTATCTCTATGTTTACGGATATCCTCCCGACGCATGCTGTGAGTCCTCGTGTAGTGACGGTGCAAGCTATTCAAGTACGTGACGACAGAATCACAGTCCTGCATCATGCATGGGTAGGCCTTGCGCAAACCACGGTCTTGGCACATCTGTAAAGCTTCTTCGTGAGATCTGAAGACATAACGGCTGAAACAATACCTCGGTTGCCTTTTTTCTCTGTTTTTCATGTCATCAACAGCTTCCTCACCCGTTTCCTGTGACTGGGTGGTCCCATCAGGCTCTGAACTGGATCCCTCAGCCTGTGCGGCGGTTGATCCAGATTCTTCTTTCTGAGGACTATGTGGTGCAACAATTAGCTTTTTTTGGCATCCAGTAATTGACTTTTTGTGAGTGCTCTGCAGACGTACCACCAGTGAATCGTAGTACTCACAGTGACTATAAAGCGCATGTTTTTTAAGTGCATCATCATGGGTGAACACTCTTGTGCAGCCTTCAAACTTGCACCTTATCGGCTCTGAAGGTTGTGAGTGAGCATCCCGAGTATGACGCACTAGGCTGCTTTTAAGGTGGTAGGAAGAATGACAGTTGGCAAAGTTACACTTGTATTGGGGCTGAGGTTCATCTAAGTTTGGATGAGGCCTTTTCTTGGTGGGCTCTTTTCTGGCTTCTGGTCTGTGATGCGTCTCAAAATCTTTTTCCAAAAGGAGTTGAGAGCGATTGTAATGATGTATCAACTGTAGGTGGCGCACGAGGCCCCCCTGGGTGGAAAAAGCAGCATCACAATGTTTTGCTACACAATGAAAGGGTTTACTGAATTTATCCAGCATATAGCAGAGATTACCTTTGGTTACCAATCGTCTTGTAGTCCTGACCTGTTGTGTTGTCCTGTCCCCTCTTTCTCCCTTCTGTGCTTTGTCTTCCTCTTTACTCTCAGCTTTACCCTCTCCTCCCTCTTCAGATGGTGAGTGATTGCCAATGTTTAGTTTAGTTTCGCTTACCACCGTTGAGTTTTTTTCCTCTGGTTGGCGTTGCAGCTTGGGGATCTCTTTTTTCCATACGTTAAGACCATGCTTCTTCAGGTTGAGAGATGCACGCATTGAAGTGTTTTTTTTCCCCTCGTGCCGTATGTAGCTTATTTTGTTGAGCAAAGTGGGATTCAGGTTGTGCATCTGAATATAGTGGAACCTCAACCCGCGTTTTTCTCTGTGACTTTGGGAGCAAAGCTGGCAGATGTAAGGTTTAAACGATGTTGTTTTCAGAGAAGTCAACCTTCTTGCCTGTTCAACAGTGCGGCCATGTAAGTTGTTATAGTGTCGCTTTAAGCTGTAACTCCGAGCGGTCTTGAAGTCACAACCTTTCATCTCACAGACGTAGGGCTTAGCACTGGCCAATGATTCGTCGTCACCTTCGGCCTCACCTTCGGCCTCACCTTCGGCGTCACCTTCGGCGTCACCTTCGGCCTCACCTTCTTTAACATCACCTTCTTTAACATCACCTTCTTTAACATCACCTTCTTTAACATCACCTTCTTTAACATCATCTGATACGTTTTCAGTTTTGACTTCTACCTTTTCATCTGGCACTTGTAGGGCCCTCTTCCGAAGCAGCACAACAGGAGGCTTTGCTATGATGGCCTGATGGAGAGATGTGTTGGATTCTTTTGACTCTAGGTTGGACTCAGGGGGCTCAATTGGCACACTGTGAGGAGATAATGAATTCAGGTTCAGTTTACTGAGCCCAATAAGGACTTCACTCAGATCATCAGTTTTAGTTTGAAAGCTTGGAGAGTTTGTTTCGTTGATTTGGGGTTCAGTATCTTCTTTTCTTTCTTCGTCTGCCTTCATGGGTTGAAATGGAGTTAAGAGCTCCCCTTTTCCCTCTTCCTCACAGTCAGGCTCAGTTTCAGTCTTCATCCCTTTGGACTTTGAGCCCCTGTCTTTGTCATGTTTGTGTTCTTTGTTCTCCAGTTTGAGGTGTTCTGGGTGGGCACACTTAAGATGCCTCTGGACATCTCTGGCTCTGGAGAAAGTCATGCCACATTTCTCAAAACCACAAGTAAACTTGCTTCCATCAAAACACACAGCCACCAGGGTCATTGCTGTTTTGGGCTCCTTACCATCAGGTGATTGCAAAGAGGAGGCACAACTTGTTGAGGAAGAGTTTAGGACATCTCCATTTTCAGTCTCTGCTGCATCACTTGACTTATTAAGGCGGTTTGACACTTCAGTAGTAAGCGTCTTAAGAAGTTTCCGCCTCGCCTTCCTCTGGGCCTCAAAGTCTTTTTCAGAGAAGGTGATGTTGTGTGTGGATAAATGGTTTATGAATTCTTTTTTGGATAGATAGTATTTACTACAGTCAGCGCTTGGGCATGTAAAGGCTGCATCTCTGAAATGCTGTGCTTCATGGTGGTAGATTTGTCCCAAGTCGGAGCAGATGACGTAGCAGCCTTTGAGCTCACACTGGTAGTTGAGGTGGAACCCGTGGGTCTGTTTGTGCGTGACAAGCTCGATGGAAGTCTTAAATTTAGCACCACAATCCATAATCACACACATGTAAGGCCGATCTCCATAGTGGACTCTTCGATGTTTGCGGTGATGGTGTGCGGAGGATAAATGGCGTCTACAAAAAACACACTTCTCACGCTTGTCTCGCATCTGCTGAAAATGTTTTACATTGTCATCACCTCTGTGCTCTGACTTTAAATGAACATACAAGTACTTGGAATGTTTAAAAATCCGAGTGCAGCCGGTTCCTGGACATGGATACTCGTCCCGATTCTGCAGGTTGAAGTGTTGGTCAATGTACTCAAACGTTACATACTCTTCCTCATCTAAATTCTTCTCTTTCACCGTTTTGGCTTGTTGCACGATGTGTTGCAGCACCTCTGGATCATGTGTGGATTTGTAGTACTGCATTAGGGAAGGGTCAACCGTGATCTCCCCTGGTTCAATAACATCATCCTCTTCATCCACCTGTTTCTGCTCATCTTCTTTTTTTATGTTGAGATTAGTTTTACTCTGCACGTGTTGTTTTAGGTGAGGAACAAGAACCTTTCTGCTCTTAAACTTTTCCAAGCACACGGGACAGGGGTGTTTGTTGCCCTCTCCGTGCCTCTTGGAGTGGTGAATGATTTGGGTGTCACTGACCGACCTCTTACAAATCTTACAACAGAACTTGTGTTTCTTTGACTCAGATTCTCCTTTGATTTCTGGTGAGTTAGAAACCTGTGGAACCTCATCCTTCTGCTCATTATCACCATCAACACTTCCATTAATCATCTTTTGATGCTCAGATTCTACTTTCACTGCGACTCCCTGAGACTCAGGTTGTGTACTTTTATCTCGATTGTCTGTTGCCTCCTCCTCTTCCCCCTCTGACTCCGGCCTCAACCCCAGAAGGGAGATGCAGTGATATTTCAGAGTTTTCCAGTCCCAGAATTCAGGGTCAAACGGCCAGTATGCCTTCAGAGTTAATAGCAACTCGCAGCGTAGTGAGTTGGGAATTACCTCGCTTTCCTGGTCATTTTTTTGGTCGGGGCGCAAGTAAAGCTCCTTCAAGGACCCAAAGACCTCCGGGCTTGGGCAAAGAATGAATTCTGTGAGAAGGCAGGCACGCAACACTTCAAGGTCTCCTGGAAGAAGGCAGGACACGCTCTTACAGACAGAGATCCTGGTTTCTGAGTCATCTTGCTTTGGAAGTTGAAGTGCTTTGACACAAAGTTCTACTGAGGCAGGTATCCCCATTTCCTGCGTCTGAAAATAAAAGTGATATATTATTAGCCTTAGTTCACAATTTTTTCAAATAAAACCGCATACTGTTTTACATGCTATAAAGTTTATAGTTGATAAAATAATCTAATAAGAGTGCATTGACGTAGACACGTTGTGCCTCTTCACCTATACCTTTTAGTTCTTACTCTCTTTCCTTACTGATGGTATGTCATTTGGTTGTGTGTGTAGACGGTGGAAGCAGGGCGTGGCATATACGTGCCTTGATCCCTGCCGAGTCGACGCACAACTGATGATTGGTGTCAGTGCCAGAAACACTCTTTGGAGCAATGCGCTCATGGTATAGTTGTGGCGCATACATCTTAGTTCCTACTCTTTTCCCTCACCCTATCCTAAGGGAGTGCATAGACACGTTGTGGAACAGAGGTGCCTCTCCACCTCTGTTCCTTACTTCTTTCCCTCAACCTATCCTAAGGGAGTGCATGTATGTACACACGTTAGTTTAGCTGCTATAGGCTTAGACTGTCGGGGGACACCTGACTCCTTCTCTCTGTCTGTACCTGTGTACTCTCATGTTCAGAATAACCCAGCTTCCCCCAAATCTCTTTTTTGTGTCCATATATACGCCGGGATCCTGAGTCGAGGCTAATCCTGTTGCTGTGGTCCTGTGTCCTGGATCCTCTATCCTGAGTTCTGGATTTGAGTCCTGGACTTCGAGTCGTGGCTGAACCTGTCTCTGTGGTCCTGCCTGACTCTCAAAATACTACTTCCCTGATGACTCCCACAGGATTGTTGACATCCTTGTGGATTCATCTTCTTATTATAGACACATGCATTTCCAAACATTTGGACTACCTATGCTGTAAAATGTTTTATCTCCTCGATTTACACACGGCATCTATTGCACATCTGTCCGTCCTGGTTAGAGTGATCCCTCCTCTGTTGCTCTACCTGTGGTTTCTCCCATTTTCCCTTTAAACTGTGGGTTTTCTCCGGAAATTTTTCCTTGTACGATGTGAGGGTCCAAGGACAGAGGGTGTCGTATTGTCATACTGATATTCTGTACAAACTGTGAAGTCCACTGAGACAAATGTAACATTTGTGATATTGGGCTATATAAATACACATTGATTGATTGACATGCATTACATTCTGACACTAAAAGGTCATTGAAATTAAAATTGCTATTTTAAGTAATACATAAATAGTGGGATGACATTTTTGTTAAGTTTACTGCAGTTTCCACCTCCTGACTACTCTTTTGAAGGCTGGATGTTTTAAGACCTCTCTTTAACTCGTTGTCTATTTTATAAAACATCCGAGAGTCTATTGGGGTTTACTCATGTGCGAAAATGTCCAACAGGATATTTTTACAACCAAATGGACCAGCTAAAACCCAGCATAGAAATGGAAAGCAGCCTATTGGGCTCACCTCTGTCTGAATGATACGGACGAGGCAAAGCAAATGCAGGACCGTTTTGGCAATGGCACCTAGCTGAAGGCATCGTTCCACAAGGGACATCAACGAGGGGTCGATCCTCCTCTGAAGCTTACTCCACAACAGAGTCAACTCCCTTTGGATAAAACACAAGAAATCTAAGTTATATTTATTTTTCTCAAAGATATTCAAATTTGACAAACTGTGATGTCCACAACAATAAAGAGAAACAACTCATCTTATCAGGGAGTCAAAATGTACAATACATGCAGTCAACCCAACATCTTGGCTCCAGACAGGAAGCACTCACCAGGAACAGTACAGGTTCTGCTGCTGAAGCTGCTGTGTCAGGAAAGTTGTGCACAAGATGAAGGCGTGGTTCTCCTCCCCCTCAGACTCCAAAGTACATGTGATCTCCAATACGTGCTTACAGTCAAGTCTTGATATCTGTTCAGGGAGTAAATACAATGCTGACTGCTTAGAAAACAACATGATAGACAAATCATCCTCCAGGCACTGTTTCAAATCTAATAAATCCAGTGTATACCAATAATATCTTATTCATCCATACTCAGTAAGAAATTATTCAGAAGTTACCATGCCCTTAAGGGATATGTAAAGATGATGTCGTATTGATTTGATTGCATTCCAAGTAAGGAAATGTTAGAATATTGTGCTGACAATAAAGCCTTTGAATCCTTTGAATATTGTGCGCTACAAAATAGTGGCAAAAGTCTACTAAAAGTTAATTATTCCAATGTGTCATCCTTCAACAGCATGACAAGTTAATAGCTGGATGTACAAGGTTTCAACTGACTGCATACCAGTAAAAGGTGCAGGAGTTGATAGCACAACAGATGTAGGACAAAGGGTTAAAGAAACCGGTCTGTGAATACGAAGACAGGAAGATACCACAGCTATTATGTGTGCTAAAAGGCCCTCTAAAGCCTTTTTAACAGGTTTTCTGAGTCTTCCAACTGACTAGCTGGTACCCACTATAAATAGACATATTTTTAATATTTATAACTATAAAAATGTTTGAATATGTCCACATTTTTATTCATCGTTGAATAAATAAAAATGTTATAATATCAGGAGGGAGAAATGTGTTATTCCTGTGTGTGACTGACTGCTCAGCATAGGTGACGCTTCATCTGGAGTCAAACTGAGATATCAGACCACCTGCTGTGAGCCCTGAACACATCCTGCCAAAACCAGATGTCTCCTCTTACAGCAACAGCAAGTTGAGCACAGGCTGAGCATTTCAAACATTTAGTTATCACTTTTATTTAGACCTCTGCTTGCAAGCCAACTAGTTTCCTGCATTCTTCTACCCATCGCAACTTGTAGGTTTTACACCTAACTCACCTATCAATGACTATGTTAAATTAGGGTCATAGCGCTGCAATACCTCCATGATGGCCTCTTCATTGGGCAGCAGGTGACAGAGCAGGAAGACAAAGGTTTGACGGAAGGTAGCTTGGTTGGAGATGAAGCTGCATTCAGTGCAGGCTTTGGCCAGCACCACAGCTTTAGCCATTTCGCCCATCTTCTCCAGGTGCTTCACGCGCATCTCCATGAAGCCCTCGCCCTCCAAGCTGATGTATGCATTAACTAGTGACAGGATGCAAAGAAGATCTGATTAGAAAACTACCTCAACAGGGTCAACCTGACGATAAGTACTTTCATGTCTAAAAGAAATAGCATAGTTGAGTTAACTAGATCCGTACCTTCTTCTGGGTTTGTTGGCTGGCCGGTGAGGAGAGAGGTGAGGACAGTGTTGCTCCACGCGCCTCCCTCTCCTGTGATCTGGAGTAAAGCTTGGAGGTCTGTGCTTCCATACTGTAGCAAGGTATCATGAGCAATCTGCAATAAAGTTGCAAAAACATTATATCTTAAATGTTTTTTTTAAAACCACCATTTTTTCTGTTTGTTCTTGAGAACACCTACACAGAAGGTTATTGTAATATAAATTATGTGAAATATGGACTTTTGCTAAGGAAAGGCTACTCATTCACTTTTACTATAACTTAATTTTTAGGCCAAATATATTTATTCTAAAAAACTAAATATTTTTTTAACCCCACTTTTCAGGTCTGAAAATAAAACTTGAACACAGCTCAGCGCCTGCTGCCCAGTTTTTAAATTGCTTTCCCTCTGTTGTCAACTCTGCAGACAAGTGTTCATTTTTCTAATTAGAAAAGGACATCAAACAACATAATTCTTGTGATTAATCTAGGACATATTATGCACTGTGCTGTATTTGTTACAGCCACTTAGCTGGGAACGATCCAACAGCAACAGCAAAGAAAATATCTACTTAATGAACATAAATTAATTAGTTTTACTGTATGTTTGTGTGGTAATGAGCTCCCATTACTCATTGTTGTATATCAGTATAGTTTTTCCTTCAGCAAGCATTTATCACAAATGACTGTCTACCAATATATGAGTTAGGGGTTATAAAACACTGTGGATTTAGTCTCAACAAGGTCAATCCGAAATAAAATACTCCTATCTACAACAGCTGGGGACATCAGGCTTCACTAGCCTATCAGAAGGCTTCTGATAACGCCTGCTAAGGCATGAGCAAACAGAACGGCATTTGTCTTTAGACCATTTTATTTGTATCAAGGATTTAAGTCTGCAGCACATCAGCAAACAATGTTTCGAAACAACTTTCTCTACCTGAACAGAGTGGTGGAATTGAACCCAGGCTTCATACGGGATTTCATTCTCAGGCACTGACAGCAATAGTTCAAAACAGCTCCTGAAAGAAATAATAACAATTTGAGAATGATTTCGCAGGAATGAAGTCTGGTCATACTATTTTTTAAATACAGTCTGTCATAATACAAACGTCAAGAAAAAGCTTTCTTCATATCCATACATTAAACATGTCAAAAAGGATCATTTGAAAATGGAATGAACAGTGCTGACATGTTTTGAGGTGGCTTCACATACACAAGGTTATTACAAGGTTACCAATATAAGATCCTTCATGCAAGACTTTGAATTGAGCTCAAAGCAATGAAACAACCTCTATCCCCAATGCAAGAAATGTTGCCAATCAAAGCAGCCTCTTAGTAGCAAAATAGGCTTGAAAAGGCATATCCTCTTTAAAAGATTGCAAAATTACAATATTTGTCATCATCAGAAACTGTAAAAACAGAAATTTGTGCCAGATTCTCAAATTGTATGAGATTTATTCTTCAGTCTGGAAAGATTACAGGGTTTCCCACACATAGACTATACTTGAGCGGGCCGCCCAGGTATATTAACGGCCGCCCAAGTATATTTCGCGACCCATTTAGCATTTAGTTTTTTTTTTTTAATATAATATATATTTTTTTTTTATTCGTCCGTGACCACGACGCCATCTGTGATCGATTAACTTGTGGACAATGATCCCTCGCTCCCTTGCTCTGATCTCGCCTCCTTCTGGCCTGTTAAGTGGCCTGCCTCACACAGGGTGACTGGCTGTCCACATGATGTGGCCTGCCGACATGGCCACTGTCATACAGATCATAAATCAAAGCCCTTGATTGGTCTGTGTGTCATTCAAGCTCGGGATAACCTCAGCTCAGGTGAGGTAAAGGACTCTCTGAGTGTTTAGATAGTTAACTTAGTCTAAGTTCTCAGTGGTTCTCAAACGGTGTGGTCACCACATATTTCCATTTAAGAGGGTAGTGATTGGTCTAATGGATAGTGAGGTGGGCTGAAGATCGGAAGGCTGTGAGTTCAAATCCCGCCAGGAACACCACCACTAGTGTGCCCTTGAGTAAGGCACTTAGCCCTTAGTTACTCCAGGGAGAATGTCCCTGTAATCGGTCATTATAGGTCGCTTTGGATAAAAGTGTCAGCTAAATGAAATGTAATGTGATTAGTAAAATATGCATGAATAAATAAATAAAAAGTTAACTAGGTAAAAAAAGGTAAGATACACTTTTAAAACTTGTTGAGAGAAAACTAGTCTTTGCTGCTGCCTCAAAGAGGAGCAGGGGGAGAGGAGGGAGACAGGAGAGGCTGATTCAGGAGCACAGACACACTCACAACTATAAATGAACCAAAAATTAATTAATAAACAAGTTTCAGCGTTTTTTTCATATTGGAAATGGTATGTTATTGGTTATGGCCATGATTTTATGATTATTGAAATGTATACAGTTCTGTTTAATATAGGTGTTTCCATAGATCTAGTCTCTTTATTTTCCCCTCAAAATGCACCAGATTGATGCATTTAACTCCAAAATAAAATCTTACCGGGGGGGCATGCCCCTGGACCCCCCTAGAGGATTTGAGGTCGACCCCCACTAAAAATCACATGGATAGGTTCCTAAATACATTTATAAATACATTTATTTTTTTAAATAGTAATCCATTTCCATATGTTCATGTGTGGGTAGTAGATTTAAACTATAGGGCTATCATTATAGGCCCTGCCTGTACCTGTTCGCTCTGCCATCGCGTGAAGGGTCTGCTAACAAGCGACCAACAGAAAGGTCAATGTTAATGTTGTTGCACGTCACCTCAACCCCCCCCCCCCCGCTACCACCACCCCCCCAAGTATATTTCAGATCTGTGGGAAACACTGGATTACCAAACAAATCTAAAATAGTGACATTTAATCTAAATCTGTTTATTCTACAAGTTTCATTTAGGTTTAAATTCTGTAAAATGCAGGCAGAGTAGAGGAAAATATATTAGTTGAAGCCACCATTTTTGAAGAATCACTCCTTTGTGATTGTACTGTAACGGTGCAATATTTATGTACTATGAAAAATGATGCCAGTGGGTAAAATGTGACGGGAGCAAAATACGCCTTGGACCTTTTTCAATACTCACAAAGCAAGTCTCTTCAAAACAAGGGCCACTCTGTCGGAGTCTGGAGTGAGGTGGGATCGGGCTGCAGCGAAACAGCTAATGGACAGACAGTAGACCTCCAGAAGAGGCAGACCATGCTCCATAGAGTTCCTGCTCCCAGCATAGTGCATGAGTGCCTATAAACAAAACACAAAAACATCATAAAGTGTCAAAAATGGAGATAAACAGAGAACTAAAATACTTTCAAAAACAGTGATAAAAAGACATCATAGAGGAGACATTTGTCTGATAAACAGTGGGTTTCCACCTGGGGGAGATACCAGTTGATCCCAGCTGACACTGTCTGATGTGTGAGACACTTCTGATTAGGCCTGATGGGATTTCACTGTACAGCATATGACAAACCTGAACCCCTAGTGAGTTGACATGCTAAAAAACAACAACTTACAGATGAGGGGGACATGTTAATTACCATATTTTTCAAGCTTTTACTTATAACATTTTACAGCTACCTGGATGTGTTTTGTAATGAATGCAATAGTGATTTCCTTCCTTTGGTCAACACAACTGTATTATATGGATATGAAAACTATTCAAATTAAGTTAACAAGAAGTGATAAAGTAAAATAAAATGGTTATGTTCTCTTATTGACTCTTTACCTTTACCAGAGGGCACATTATTGTTTGCAGTCAATATTGTCTTAACTGTCCTCAGTCACATCTGTGTGTGTAAACCAGTGTCACCTATATGTTCACACATTAAATCATCATCACTATCAAGATCCCAGGAGTCCCATTTGCCAGACAGTAGGACCCTAGCTGGTTGCTGCTTGTGTCCACAGAGAGGCACTAAATTAATTCCCATCAGTCTAAATATATAGTGCCATCTCAAAGGAAGCCACACATAAGGGCTCAACCCTGGAGACCCTTAGCAGTGTACTAATTAAACCCAGACTACTTCCGACTTCAACAGAAAATAAATACACAATAAACACACACTTTTTGTTTGAAATCAACCCAAAAACATTGCATTTACAAAGTGTGAAAACTTAAATGCTCAGGGAATTACCAAACAGTTATTCAACATGAGAACATATGCCATCTTTTGATATAAGGAAATATCATCAGACCAAAAGAGACTTGACACAAATCCTTTTGCTATCTTCAAATGTTGTCTACTTTTCTGTTTCATTTTCCTAGTTTGTGTTGGTATCTTTCCAATGCAGTTCAGCAAACACACTTTAAAGAGACTTGAACTGTTTAATGTGATATATCACTGTGTTATTGTGGTTGTTTACCTAAAGGCTGTCTGTGTTTTATGTTGTTGTTCTTCTGGTGGACAGTAATGATAATTATTGTATATGCTACTGTATATGATATTATATTCTAACCATTTTCACCAAGCAGTGAAAATAAAATACATTTTTCATGTATCAGGTTCCCTTACTGGCAAAGTTGAAACATTTTTACCAAAATACAATTAATAATATTTGTTTTTGCATTTGTACTTACACACTATGAGTTTGAGAATAAGGGTCATTTAAATAAGAGTGCATAATCATTGTAAATAAAATAAAAATAAAAATATAACATGGTAGTGGCAAATCCTCAACCTGGCCAGCCCATTATCAATCTTTACAAACACTAACGTTATGTAAATGCAGTTTTGGATTCTTACAACTTCTCAGAATGATCAAAATGCAATTTCCCAGTGGCTTAACGCTGCAACTAGCGAGAAAATGTGGATAAACATAACGCGATGCCGCCCCGCCCCAAACAATAAATGTTGTGCAAATGTCCAGTGCATTATGTTAGATCCTTGCCAGTATGTTTTGACTAAAACGAGAACATCAGTCAGCTTACTGTAAGAACTTGAGACAACACACAGTACATCACTCATCTGCCAACAGCCTACATCCCAAGGCCAATACTATTAGCTACAATGTTTAAGCGTGCATGATATGCATGTGTTAATATAAATACAAATACAGAGTGTGCAATAGCTCTCTTGTTATGGACCAGCCCTAAACTTGAGCAGGTAGCTAGCGGGCCAGCAGCTGTGGTACGTTAGCTGTAGCCTGCAGGAAACGAGAAAAACAACCCAGGGCGAGCTAACGTGAAGCTAACGCTGGCATCAATGTTTGCATGTACACATTACCTGACAGAAGTTGTCGCAGTACTCCGTGGAAGATGCTATGGATAGTTCTTGTTGCCTGAGCACGTCTTCAAATGCTCTAAGTGTAGCCAGTAGGGTTTCCATTGCAACCAGGGTGTCGTCAGCCGTGTCCAGGGCCCGGTCCATCCAGTCCTGCTCCGGCTCCACACTCTCCGCCATCTTCGCTCCTCCACACGGCGCGTATGCAGTGCAGTCTGACGCCGCCTTCACGGGCTGTCGGAATATTTACGTGTGGTGAACTTCACCTGCAGGACCCGAAGACATCATGGGAGAGGGGGGCGACTATAGACTGTATATATAAGGGGGCGACTGGTAGAAATGTGACGTCAGGTTTATTGGTATGATTATTTGTTGGTTGTTGTTATTTCCTGGAATGTTAAAGAACCTTTTTATTTTCATTTCAGCAACCCTTGGTGCGTTAATTAATGTGGACACCAAGCAAACTAACCATTAGTGTTAACATATTACAGGCTTTGCATTTTTCCTATCAGGATGTTTTATTTTGATGTGCATAACAAAGTGTATGGTGTTTTATTTTAATGTCAGATAAGTGATAATAAATAAATATTTTTTTTCTTGATTATCTTTTGCTTTATAAAATCTCTGAAATGTCCATCCCAGTTTTCTAAGAATACAATGACATGATTTTAAATCAATTGTTTTGTCAGTCAAAAACCAAAAGATATTGACTTAAATATGATATAAAACAGAGGAAAGCACAATCTATCAGCATAACTACGTGTTTAATCAAATTCCAAAAGATCATCAAATGTGTCTGAATACCCTGTGGCAGTGGGAACTACGTATCTTTAAAAAGTCAACTTCTAGTGAGATTCTGAGCAAACAGCATTTTTTCAGATTCGGGAAGAAAATGCTTTTTGCAGATACGGTTAACCTAACCATTTCAAAAATATATCATAAAAAAATGAACACTTCATACTTCAGTTTATCACAAACATTGAAAATCATGCACAGGAAGTGGATGAAAAACTGCTGCTGTTGCTCTGGCAGTCTAACAGTTGCATATTATTTTTTAGAAAAATGCACATGTGAACCATGATGTGAACTGACAAAAACTCCATCCAAAGCTTAGTGACAGCATTGCAGTATTTTTTCTGTTTATTAGCATAAGTAAACAATTAATTGATCCAAATGTGAACAGTTTTTAATGTACATTTTACTTTTTTTATTTTATTAGTATGTCCTATCCGTAGTTTCATTATTGTAGTGTTACTTTGGTTTGGTATTACTTTGGTTTTCAATATTTTCCAAATACTGGTGTTTAGCGCCCCCTACAGGTTAGTGGGTGTTTCTTTTGTGGCTTTTCTTGACCCGGAAGAAAATACATTCCTTTCGGTCACACGTGTAAACGGTAAGCACAGCTAAGATACATATGTGAAGATTTGTTGATCTAATACCTTGCATTGCTGTTCGTTGAGCTGAATGTTTCTAATGGACATACATACTTACTCCACAGGATCTGATTTGGTCGAGTGAAATAGCTAGTTTGTGAGCTTCGATGGCTGATAACTGTATTCTGTTTTTTGCTCACCAGGATCAACCATGGGAAAGTCCAAACAAACGGGAAATCACAAAAGTGACGCGAAGAAGCACATTGCAAAGACATGGAAGACAAAGCGCAGGACCAAAGACATGGACGAGATCCACTCGGACATGAAGACTGAGGCAGCGGCCAAGCTGCTGAACCAGGAGGTGGACGTCGACGTGACGGGGTGTGCACAACACTACTGTTTACACTGCGCGTAAGTTCACCCCTGTTGATTTCCAATGTTCATAAGGCTTACCATTTGTTATTTGCTATTCAAACAATTGCACTAATTCTTATCTATGACGGATATGTCCTTTTTGTGACCATTTAAAAAGTTTGTTTACCAATTGAAGATGAGCTGAGTTGGCTAATGGTGGAATTATATGGTATATCAGTGCAAAGGTACTCTTAAAAGTAAATGAACATATCAAAATAGAAATATACTTAAATTACCATGAGTAATAGTACTCATTATGCAGATTGGCAAATTCAGAATACAATGGGATTGATGTGCAATACTATGTAAGCCATTCTAATGTTAATGTTTAAATAGGTAGATTAATATATGCGTAATAATGAGGGCTGTCAGTCGATTAAAATAGTTAATCGCGATTAATCGCAAATTAATCGCACATTTTTGATCTGTTCTAAATGTACCTTAGAGGAATATTTTTCAAGTTTTTAATACTCTTATCAACATATGAGTGGACAAATATGCTTTATGCTAATGTTTATTATCATTTGAACAATGACAAATATTCTCATGAATATTAAACACAACAACCTCTGAGCATTACAAATATTCGCCTCAATTCAACCTGGAACCTCTCTCATACAATAGTACAATACAAATGGTGTGTGTGTGTGTGTGTGTGTGTGTGTGTGTGTGTGTGTGTGTGTGTGTGTGTGTGTGTGTGTGTGTGTGTGTGTGTGTGTGTGTGTGTGTGTGTGTGTGTGTGTGTGTGTGTGTGTGTGTGTGTGTGTGTGTGTGTGTGTGTGTGTGTGTGTGTGTGTGTGTGTGTGTGTGTGTGTGTGTGTGTGTGTGTGTGTGGTGTGTGTGTGTGTGTGTGTGTGTGTGTGTGTGTGTGTGTGTGTGTGTGTGTGTGTGTGTGTGTGTGTGTGTGTGTGTGTGTGTGTGTGTGTGTGTGTGTGTGTGTGTGTTGGAGCTATGTGCAACTCAATGCATGCTCGAACGGGAGCTGCCTGGACGCTGCAATCATGTTGCACTATCCGTGCTGAGTGTGCTGACTTTTCGTACAATGTCCCACTGTCTGGCTTCCTGCATAAAGTCAAGTGCTCGGCGCAGTTGTCGCTCCTCTGTTTTCATTTAAACAGCTCCTTATATCCGTTAGCGCAGCTAGCTAGCACCAGATGCTAACAACAACAATGCACGTAAGGTCTCTCTCTCGCTTGCTCGTGCCACACATACAAACACCCTCCCGGTCCTCCCAATAGCCAGTCGGTGCCTGCCGGTGAGCGTGGAAGTGTGGTCTGCCACAAGCGGGCGGCAGGAGCGGGGCTGTCAGCATCAGCTTGTAGATGGTATTTTAAACTCGATGCGCTCTGAAACTACGGGGCGGCCGAGGAAAAAAAATACACATGCGTTAATCGCGTTAAAATAATTAGTGGCGTTCATTTTTTTTTGCGTTATTAACGCGTTAACTTGACAGCCCTAGTAATAATACATCATGATTTATTCTACATTGTTCATTAATCATTGGCACATTTCAAAATATTAAGTATCTAAAGCTGTCAAATGTATTGCAGTGAAGCGTACAATATTTCCCACAGAAGTATACTGCTGTAAAAGTACAAAAGTAGCATTTATATGTGAATACTCAAGTGAATTGCAAGCAACCCAAAATGTTGACTAAGTACAGCAAATGTACTATGTTAAATTCCACATACTGTGTTATAACAAGCAGCAGATATCTAATGTACGCTGATACTGACAGAATGTTAAGCAGGTCCTAAGAGTCTCAGCTTACTGGATGACCATCAACCTTTAACTCTGGACCTTCTTCTTCTTTTAAAAAAAAATATATGTGATAGTTTCTATTGTGACTGGTTATAATGTTTTGTATTGGTTTTATATCGATTTGATTTGTTTTGCTATGAAAGTCTCTCTTACAAAAGAGATCTTAGACAAGGTAATAATAACATGGTATTATGCAGTTAGCCTTTAACACTGTGTTCCTTCATGTCTTCCAGGAGATATTTTGTGGACATGAGATCAATGAAAGAGCACTTCAAAACCAAAGTGCACAAAAGACGGTAAGGCACCATATCTCAACAGTATATTTTCACATCGACCTACTTTATTTCCCCTGCAACTGAAACGGCCAAGTATCTCTGTGATTTTCAGAGCTTACCTCTTCTTCTTTTTCCTTCCAGGCTGAAAAAGCTCAGAGAGGAGCCCTACACCCAGGCAGAGGCAGAGAGAGCGGCAGGTATGGGCTCATACATCCCCGCAAAAACAGTTGAAGTGAAGACACAGACTGTGGAAGAGGACATGGACTGAGCCACCCACTTTAAGCCATGGACTGATCACCCCAATAACCGAAGCATTTACAAAAGGGATAATGCTTCGGTTATTCCTTGTTGACCCACACATTTTGAGTGCAATGTTAAATGCTTTTTTTGTGACACACTTCAACAGAATCAGAAAAGGCTTTACCTTTTATACTAGGTAATGTAATACAACATGTACCTATGCAAATATTGAGTATGTTTAGCACTGTGTGGAATGCTAATAAACATGAGGTAGATGGAGATTGCAGATTGCTTTCATATGGGTTTTGAATGAGACCACGCACTGTGGTTATTGCAGTATTTCCTAAATCCGGAGGGTAACCAACCCACAACAATTCCCAGGACAAGATGTTTAAAATAATATTGGTGGAGGGATTTTCATTTCCTTTCTACATCAGTATTTATTTGGAGGAAACTGTACATGTTGACAAGGATTGAGAGGTTTTGAACTAGCCTATTTTAAATAAAATAATCTAGGAAGGATTTCACACTCTTTGGTTGAACGCACACAACTCCTATACACGATGATCATATGTTCAAAGAGAGATCACACTTGAGTTCTAGAAGTAAGGCTTGTGTTCATGTCTTGGTATGTGCAACATCAAATTAACGGAGATATTGCTTTAGTTATTACTCTTGTAATGGTATGACACATGGCAGATAATGCCAGCAATCTCTCTCAAGCTGGGTATCTTTACTGTATAGCAGCCCCTTTTATTTCTGCCAACATTTCCTCTATACAGAATGAAAACTGCACTGGCCCCATTGTTGACATCTTGGTATTCCAAAGGTTAGTCCAGCAAAAACAAAGCCTTCCACTGGTACATACAAAGCTTCAAAACATACTAATAACAGTGTGCTTTGGCAAAGAAATGTATAATTGAAGCGTTTCAGCAGACATTCCTGGGATGAGCAACGCAACACTGCCACTTTAAATGTTGCTACTGTGCCAACACCTAACTTTAGTAAAGTGAGAGAAAACGTAAACTTCCGGTCGTCAGTTTCAAAATAAAGCACTAAATGGTCAAATTGAGATTTTTTTTTTTTTTACACATACTGAAGCAGATTGCATCTATCCTTTGTCTGTGTAACGTTTAGGATCATGCCCAGGCCGAAACCAACTTAATCAGTTGTATTATTTCCAATGTCACGACAAAGAAGATTACGGCATTAAAAGCAGGAAGAAAACGATGTATTAATCTTCACAGACAAAAAAAACAAGATAAATCACAATATACATTTCAATTAACAAGCAACTACTGGTTGATATTGATACCGGGTAAGATAACTGCTGAGTACACACGACTAGCTAGCTACGAATGCTTTTATTTTGAACCCAGACAGGCCAAACATCCGGTTTCCTCGTGGCTGTCATGTGTTCCCTTGACGCATTTCAAACCACATCCATATGGCTGTGGTTCAGATGTGGGAAATAAGAAATTTGTGCTGCTAGCTAACGCTCCATCCACAGCTGTTGTGGGATTGTAACGGCCGGAAAAGACGAGTGGTCTCCGGCTACAGGATAACAAAACCGTCGCTAGGCTCCAAACACTTTAAGAAAGATAAGTTTATACTAATGGGTACTTTTTTGTTGACCTTATCCGACGGCCATGTCCTTGTTTAAATAGCTGTGGTTGTTGTCGAGGATGGCCGCAGACGTGGATCAGACAATCCCCGATGATGAGCGCAAAATGTCGCCGCAGAAAGGGAACCAGAGTCCCGCTACTGGGTCCTGGATCTGCCGGGGTATCTGGACTCTGCTTCTAATCGGTGCTGTCCCTCTTCTCGCCTTCGGGATCAAGTATTACCAAGATGCCCATCTCCACAAACGTCATGTGAGATCCACATCTGTAATACTAATGTTACAAACGCCTCATAATTTACCCGTTTTATTCACTTTAGAAAATAACTTATAATAAAATCAAATATGTATCCATATAATGCTAAAAAAATGCCAATTAACTATATGTTATGTATTAATAGAAAGTTTGCATTGACCTTCTCGGACTTATTATTACTGTAAGGTTACTGTCCATTTTTAAATAGTAGTTAACTGTTACAAAAAGCTTTGATCAGTCTTCAGAGTAATTCATTGTCAGACATCAGTCGCCACCAAACACCACATCTGCAGTTTTTCCACCTCATGGTGTTTTTTTTAAGGGGAGGTGAATCTGTGTCACAGCTGGTAAAACTCAACCTCATGTGTTATATTGCCTCTTGTTTGGCTACTCAGGGACTCCAATTTGTTCTTATACTTCCCTCCCCCTCTCCCTGCATCGTACAAGCAGCATCTGTCTGGGAAACACATGCAAGGAATCTGTGGCCTCTGGGCTGACCTCTATCCAGACAGGACTGCTAAGGCTGAGTGAATGCTATAGGGACCCATTACTATAGAGACATTAATATATTTAAAAGTAAAAGTGCTCCCTAAAGTATGAACATGCAGCTAAAACAGTGCTTTTTTTAATCTTCCCAAATATTTGTGTTTTGTTTGATGAGGCG